AAGAATATTCATATCCTCGGTAAGAGGGTGTCCAGACCTGTTCTTCAAAACTCTTAGACTACCCTTCTTTTCACTTCGAATGAAACCGGCGAATGGTCTGCCAAAATACCTTGTTAGCCGTGTGGAACTGTGCCTCACCGAACTTCTCCTAAGGATCAGCTTTTGCTTTCGCCACTGTTTTGAGTTCCTGCTTGCGCGCTTCTTCATGCCACATGCGAATTTAAGACTCCTTGCTTCCAAGCCATGTCTTTAATGGAAACTTCTTTTCGGCGATAGTCAGTTGTCTTTTTTGTGTCCCTCAGGAAGTTCTCATCTGACTTGCAGACGGCAGGCCAACTCATTTTAACCCGCAGCATTTGGCGGCATCCATGAGTAAGCCGCTCTCAAACAACCCTCACGCAGTTTCCACATCAGTTATCATCATTGCGAGCTGTTCAAATCGTCGTGCGATGTTGTTTGCGAATTTCGCTCTCGTATCCACCGAAGACAGTGTTTCCCATTTGATTCTCCGGTTGCTTCTGCCAGCAGATCTTCGTATGGTACTCTGCTTCTTACAGTGCAGCGTGCCAAAAACAAGGTAGTTATTGGCTGATAACTCTTAACCGGAACATCCATTAGAGAGCGTCTTAAATCAGACGATACGATTATCAAATCGATCGTCGACTTCTGGGCAGAAGCTTTCCGGTACCAGAAGCTTTCCGGTGTCAAGTCACACGATACGATTATCAAATCGATCATCGACTTCTGTGCACAAGCTTCCGTGTGCAGGTGTACTGATGCACTTTTCGATGCTCGAAGAAGGTGTTCATAATCGACAATCCGTTGTTTGCATAAAATCGCAACAACTTTTTGCCGTTATTGTTGAGGTCGCTAGGGCCATTCTTCCCAAACATGCGTTTTTTTTATTCTATGTCTGCTCTGATATGCGCATCAAATCCTACTGGTCGTTAATTTCAGTCTAGTTATCTTGAGTCAAACTGCCACAAATTTATTCCTGGTTTGTCCCTGATGTTATCAAGCTTCGTTTTGTGAAAATCTACTGAGAAACCGCTGACCTAACGTTACCACGCAAAGTCTGTTTATATGCATGATGCTACTTTATTCATTTTCCTTACGACTCGTTTTTTTCGCCTACTGGAATGCTCTTTCACTGAAGAGACAGCTCAGAAATGCCTCAAGAACAAAATCTGTCATGTTCATAATAGTCTCCTCTGATTTAGTAATTTATCAAGCACTGACGTAGAGCAGAACATCCATGGTCGCTGCATTTATGAAGAAGTTCGTTCGATTCCGCAACGCAGCTGCTATCTGCATAATGCCGTATTTTCCATGTAAAACAATACAAAATTAAAATTAGAAAAGATCTTCCTCGCCCTCAATATCGCAAACCGAGGTCAGTAGGTTAGCTTCGATGCATACGCGTCAGACCGTTTCGATGGGCTGCGATAGAATGCGCGTCAAACAGTTTCTCCGTCGTTCTCGATTCTGTGCCGGCGTTTAGGCTTCGATGGAAGATTATCCTTCGACACACTTTCCTCAGTTTATTCTCAACCAGTGAGTTCAGCTGGTAGTAGTTCTTTCACCATTCCATCTGAAATCATTGGAGATACTGCTCAAACCGTCGCAGCAGTGACTTCTAAAACAGCAGAAGCAGCGGCGGTGACCTTATAATTCCTTGCGGCTTCTGAGGGCGTTGATCGTTCCTCCAATTCCTTAATGTGCTGAAATGACTTTCCGAAATTGTGTGCAACGCATGATCAGTCCCGTCAGCTGAGACTAAACCAATCATCGGGTTGCACTGATGACGCCTTGAGCGGTTTGCTCAATAATTTTTGCTGGTGTGACAAATCAACGGAGAACTCGACGCAAGATGGCATTGTCTTTTGCCTAAAGACCGGCAGGAGACAGCCGAACACGTACAAGTGAACTATCTTGCTTGAGGTGGTATCGATAGTCTCAACAATTTGAGCAGGCAGTTTTTTCCCCTGCTTATTTTTGTGAACAGTCAAGTAACCTGGTCAATTCTACTCTAAATGTTCCACTCATCCAGTTCCTGACAAACTAGCACAGTACCTGTATTGATTTGGTGCACTCCCCTCGATCCACATGGGTCCACAGTTTGCCGGAACCAAAATCTACTGCAGATTCATATTTCCCGCATCAGCGAGCATCGTTCGAA